TCTGTCAGTGTGGGAGGACAGCATGAGCTCAGAGAACATTTCATCACGAGTGCAATTTTTTTTCTTTCTAATCTTCACTAGCCTCTTGGAAGGAGAAGATCCTGTGATCACTGAAACACATGCAGCTGGTGGAGAAAAAAAAAGGGACAGCGGTATTTAAAAAGACACATTTTATAAAACAATGGCTACACTCTTTCAGAGTAAACCTTGCTGTTAACATTACATACATAGCACATGTGCTTTCGTCGCATTTTGCCTCCCTCCACCGCGTGGCTACCCCCTCAACCCTCCCCCCTCCCCATGGCTAACAGCGCGGGAACATTTCTGTTTAGCCACAGGCAAACAGCCCAGCAAGAACGGGCACCTCTGAGTGTCCCCTGAAGAAAAGCACCCTATTTCAACCAGGTGACCATGAATTATATCTCACTCTCCTGAGGATAACACAGAGAGATAAGTTTCAGAGTAACAGCCGTGTTAGTCTGTATTCGCAAAACGAAAAGGAGTCTCTAAGGTGCCACAAGTACTCCTTTTCTTTTTACAGAGAAATAAAGAATGGATGTTGTTTGAGTGTCAGCAAACATACACTGCAATGCTTTGTTGTACAATGATTCCCAAGTACATGCTACTGGCCTGGAGTGGTAAAGTGTCCTCAATAAGGCTGCCCTCCTCAGAAACCTTTTGCAAAGGCTTTGGGAGTACATCCAGGAGAGCCGAGAATGCCAGGGCAAATTAATCCTTTCACATGCTTGCTTTTAAACCATGTATAGTATTTTAAAAGGTACACTCACCAGAGGTCCCTTTTCCACCTGTCGGGTCCAGGAGGCAGTCTTGGGTGGGTTTGGGGGGTACTGGCTCCAGATCCAGGGTGAGAAACAGTTCCTGGCTGTCGGGAAAAAGCGGTTTCTCCGCTTGCTTGCTGTGAGCTATCTACAACCTCATCATCATCATTATCTTCTTCGTCCCCAAAACCTGCTTCCATGTTGCCTCCATCTCCATTGAAGGAGTCAAACAACACGGCTGGGGTAGTGGTGGCTGAACCCCCTAAAATGGCATGCAGCTCATCATAGAAGCGGCATGTTTGGGGCTCTGACCTGGAGCGGCCGTTCGCCTCTCTGGTTTTCTGGTAGGCTTGCCTCAGCTCCTTAAGTTTCATGCAGCACTGCTTCGGGTCCCTGTTATGGCCTCTGTCCTTCATGCCCTGGGAGATTTTGACAAAGGTTTTGGCATTTCGAAAACTGGAACGGAGTTCTGATAGCACGGATTCCTCTCCCCAAACAGCGATCAGATCCCGTACCTCCCGTTCGGTCCATGCTGGAGCTCTTTTGCGATTCTGGGACTCCATCATGGTCACCTGTGCTGATGAGCTCTGCATGGTCACCTGCAGCTTGCCACGCTGGCCAAACAGGAAATGAGATTCAAAAGTTCGCGGGTCTTTTCCTGTCTACCTGGCCAGTGCATCTGAGTTGAGAGCGCTGTCCAGAGCGGTCACAATAGAGCACTCTGGGATAGCTCCCAGAGGACAATACCGTCAAATTGTGTCCACAGTACCCCAAATTCGACCCGGCAAGGCCGATTTAAGCGCTAATCCACTTGTCAGGGGTAGAGTAAGGAAATCGATTTTAAGAGCCCTTTAAGTTGAAAAAAAGGGCTTCATCGTGTGGACAGGTGCAGGTTTACATCGATTTAACGCTGCTAAATTCGACCTAAAGTCCTAGTGTAGACCAGGGCTTATTTTGGTTTGAACAAGGCTTATTTCAGTTAATCTGAAGTTAATTAGGAATCAGGTTAATCTAGACTGCGGTAAACTGCTTTTAAAATGAAATAAGAGGAGCGTCCACATAGGGATTCACTCTCATATAACTAAATTGGTTTAAAACACAATATCAGTGAAACTGGTGCAACTGTCTGATGTAGACAAGGCCTGAGGCCTTGCCTAGATTCCAAGTTGCACTAGTTTAGTTAAACCAGTGTAAAATCCAATATGGACACACTTATCTTGATCCAGAGTGGCCTATTTTGGTTTAGCTTAAGCCAGTGAGAAATCTACTTAAGCTAAATCGACGTGAGCACCTCTTAGGCCTGTGTTTGTCCCAGTATAACGTTTTTGGTCAGCGGTGTGACTTTCCACCTAAATAGTTCTAGCTCTACAAACCATAGAGCAGCTGCATTTAGATCAGTATAAAAGTGACTCCTACCAGTAGAGCTTATTCACCTCCCCATAAGGGAACAGCTATACTGATATAAACACCTTTGTACAAGTATAACTCCCTCTGCACTAGGGGGGTGGTTAATCACATTGGTTTAAAAAGACACTATTAGTTAAACAGGTGCAAATGCATGTGCAGCAAAGGCCCAGCATTGACAGTTGTGATGATTAACGTGTTATTTCACATTTAATGAGCTTTAGTTTAAAAAGGCCCCAACACTCTTCTGGAGAAATCAAATGGTGAGTCCCTTCCTGTCTCCCCATCCCGGGGACTCCTGGTGCAGACTCTGCCCCACAGACTGGCTGTTGCACAAGGGAAAGTGCTACTGGGTTTCTGAGGACAATACGGAGAGGACTGGGAGCCATGCGATAGCTTGGCAAAGAGGGCTCAAGCCCTAGGGATCCAGGACTTGGATGAAATGGTGATGTGAAATGTGGCGGGTGGGAACTTCAGCTGGAGAGAGACCTGGTCTTTCCTGGATGGCAGAGCAGAGGAGTTGCAGGGACTGGGGAACCTCAGAAACCTTCCCTGACTGCAGGAAGCTCCCTGCTGGGGAGTGGGGAGACAGCTGCCGGGCAGCTTCAGAGCAGTTATTTGTCTGTGCATCTCCTCTCCACTTCCCATGGAATGATCCTGCAGCCTTCAGCAATGAATACAATGCATGCAGGGAGTCAGCCACCTGCGTGCCTAGGGGTGTAGCAATGGCAGTGTGTGACATTCTGTACCTTAGGGAAGCGTATTGTAACCCCAATATTCTTCATTTTCATATAATCGTGATCTCACATATAAAGCATGCCTTGAAGTTATGAGGGCATATGAAGTTATGAGAATTGTGTTGTACAGACGGTCCCCGACTTACACAATCGTTCCATTCCGGAACGCCTTGCACAATTCAAATTTTGCGTAAGTTGGAAATGTATACCTGACCATTACACAAAAAAACAAAACAAAACAAAACAAAACAAAAAAACCCCCCAAACCTCCTATTTCTAGCTCATGGAACTTTTTCTGTAAGTGCAGATTTGCGTAAGTCAGGTCTTGTGTAACTTGGGGAGCATCTGTATGGTGGTCACTAAAGCTTGCTGTAAATTGGTGAATCAGCCAGATATTAGCTCCCCAGAGGCAACAGCAAGGAAAGTAACCAACGCCCGGGCGGGGTGTCAAATAGCCTATTAACAGCCATTGTCCAGCAAGGGAGCTACAATGCAATGACTCACCTGCATGAGGCCCCACCAGGGAAATTGCTCAACATTGCTTGAAGAGACTCAGAAATGCCCCACAGACATGCCTGGACTTGTGTTCTACAAGCACATGGACTGAGAGTGTAAAACAGACAGAGTGGACACATACTGGGCCCTTCTCCTGCCCCCACCTTCACTGCAAGCAACCAAGACACTGAGAAGAAGACAAGACTCCAACACAGGAGATTGGCCCAGGTTTAAGGAACAAACCTGTGTATTAGGGACTGCAATATCCAGTGGAGTGAGAAAAATTGCTTACTCTAGTTGCTGCCCAGTCTAATAGGGTTGAGAGGTTAGACTGCATGCTTATATTTTCTTTTCTTTTGGTAACCACTCTGACTTGTTATGCTTTGACTTATAATCACTTAAAATCTATCTTTATAGTTAATAAATCTGTTTGTTTATTCTACCTGAAGCAGTGCATTTGGTTTGAAGTGTGTCAGAGACTCCCCTTGAGATAACAAGCCTGGTACATATCAATTTCTTTGTTAAACTGACAAACTTATATAGGCTTGCAGTGTCCAGTGTTCAAAATAGGTAGAAGAATTTTTCCACTTGGAACTATGACAGCACATGAGGTGGAGAAGAAGACATGTAAAATTATATATCAACATGGCTGTCCAGAGCAGATACTGGCAGATCTGGGTTCTGAATTAAATAATGAGGTAACAGTTTACATCTGGTGTTATTTTCACTATACGGTCAATTACACAGTAATGGCCATGTGACAGGCGGCTGTTAGCTACAAACTGAGCCCTTTGGAAGCCAGCGCCCTGGTCACTGAGAACACCCAGGGCACCGGGTGCAGTTAGAATAGGAGGGACTGAGTAGTTTGGGTTCGGAAGGGCAGAGGGGATCACTTGCACCTGTAAGAAGCCTGATGAGGTCACTAGCTCAGCGCTGAGAAGAAAGCACCAGGATAAAAGCCTGAATCAGGGAGCAGGAAGGGGGCTCCTCATAACTGCTGCTATGGTGTGATGCACCATAAAAAGTAATAAAGACACTTGGTGGAGGTTCCCTGGCAGACTGGAGGCTGCTTAATTCACACAGAGGTCTGCCAGCCAGGGGTTGCAGGAACTGATGGGGGAGCCCATTTATAGTTAGAAAATTAAAAATGAACATTGCCTGCAGTCTCTTCATGACACTTCATGCTGTAAATTGTGAGTGACGACACATTTGTATGTCTTGTCAGATAGTGAAAACCATGTTGTATATTAACCTATTTGCCAACATATTTTCCCATGTACTAACACAATAAGATTGGATAAGAAACCACAGTAATTACACATAATTCAGTGAGAAATAGGGAAAGGAATGCAGATATTTCTGAAGGAAATTTTAGGGAAAAATTATCTATTTTTAGATTAAAATTTCCCACTGTTAAAAACTAGGAAAAACACATAGCTTCAGCAGCCCATGCCACCTAGATATCAGCAGACTGGATAAAAACACAAATGAATCCATCAAAAGATAATTTAGGGTATCTATTTTCAAATAATCAAGGTAAATTTAGGGCACAGTGCCATGAATGGCATATTGTGAATAAATCTTCAAAACTGAATTATGACATTGAAAATGTTCATAACGCATCACGTTTAAAACAAAAAGTAGTCCTAGAAATGCCGTGTGATGTGCCTCCCCTCACACTCCGCTCAGCCAGCTCTTCCAGAAATTAGGTTCAATCGCTAATTTCAAGGAATTAGACCAATCGGTCACTATTTTTACAGAGCATTCCAGAAGGTGGTGGCCAGAACCCAGAGGAATTGTGATGAATTTCCTGGAGCAACTTTATTTTCTTTGTACTCTAAACCTCACATGACAACAAAAATATCACCCTTTTGACTGATTTGTGGCCGAGAAGAAAGGTTTCCCAATAAAGCTTCACCAGATTTCATGTTATGTGTCATTAAGTGCCAGCGTCTTCAATACAATTAAGTTAATTTGTGATGATTCAGTGAAGGAATACAACCTCTTCTCTATTTCTTTACCAAACTACATTCGTTGTGTCCTTATAACCAAGAACATGAAAAGCCCAGCCATACATTGAAAACAACAGTGGACACTGACAGTACATTGCCTGCAAATAATATTTCTAAAGAAAAATAAAACAAAAAAAATGAGATTGTAGAAGAGATTTCTGTATACAGCAAGAGAACATTTGAGGTTGGGGACCGTGTTTTGTTTATTGATGTAAGAAAAAGAAAGGAAGGATCATATCTTGATTACCGATTATATGTAGCTACAAATTTAAAAATGACATGAATTAATGCTGACAGAACTTCAAAGAATATTATATAATCTTGTGTGAGTTAATTTAAATATATTGCTTAATTAATTCTATCATTTTTTCACCTATTAATTTTCAAAGATGTAGTGCAGGGGGTGGGTGTATGTGCCCTGCCTTCCAGAGAGAACCAGTCAACACAATAAAGAGAGGGGGAGAGACAGAGCAGCTGCACATGTGTGTAGCTGTGATGTTTTTGACACACGTACATTGTAACTGAACCACCCAGTCTGACAATTTAATAGTTTATTTTGTTAAGATAAATATTTTGGATTTTTTGAAATTCCACAGTTGAAATACAAATGATGTTATTTAGAGAAGTTAAACTTCAATATAGATTTGAGGGAGGAATCAAAAAATAAATGTAAATAATTCCATTTCTAAAAATATGTTTAGATGTTTGTTTTTGAAATACTGTTGAAATGTAAATTAAAATAATCTTGTATTTACACCTTGTTACAATAATATTTTCTAAATTAGAATAATCTTTTTTGTTTCATATTTTACACTGAGATTTCACAAGGGGTAGAAAATTCTGACAGGAGTGAATGACCCCATCCACCACCATCTGCTACCTCTGGGGCAGGGGACGGGGAAAGATGAGGGCTAGGGGTTGCCAGGTGTCCGGTTTTCGACTGGAACCTCCAGTTGAAAAGGGAAACTGGCAGTGTCCAGTCAGCAAAAAAGTCCAGTTGCCATCAGTAACTGGCGTCCACTACTGGGGGTGGGGGGGGGTGGGGGGGGGGAAGAGCAGCAGTGCTGGGAGGGGCCAGTCTCCACTGCAGGGGTCACTGTCAGGGACAGAGATTCCCTCCGACCTGAGCTGGGACCGGGCAGATTATCAGCGGAGCCACATTTGTACCCCCAGCTTTGTGACCAGGATATAAATAAGGGCGGAGCGTCCCGGAGAAGGTGTCAGTGAAAGTGAAGAGATGGGACCCGTCAGTCACATTGTAAAACGAGACCTCGCCCGCCTCATAGTCCAGGAAAATCCCCACCCGGCCGGGCCGGACGCTCACGGGGATGAGGGGAGAGGTGGAGGTGCCAGCCTTGTATTCCCCACCCCTCAGCCACATGACCCAGCATCCATTCCCAGGTGTGGGTGTGACCTTCCTGTTCAAAGATTCCCTACAAACCCCCAGAGTCCATCTAGTCTTGTCTCCCACCTCCACCTCCCAGTAATGCCTCCCGCCCATGAACCGCTCAGTGCCCAGGACACAGGGAAAAGGATCAAATCTCTCAGGGTTGTCGGGCAGATCCTGGCGTGTGTCTCCGTATCTCGCATGTTTCCGATCCTCAGACAGGACGAGCCAGGGATTTGCCGTGTCTGGATCCAGAGTCATGTCCACTGGGGAGAGAGTCACAGAGTCAGGGCCGGGGGCAGGTCACTGGGATCAAAGGGAAATTAACCTGCGTCCAGGCTAATCGCTGTGCTGGGGGGTCGTTGCCCTTTAAGGGGACTCAGAGCCCTGTCTGCTCATGAGAGTGAACTTGAGGGGAACAACAAGAGGAAGGTGTGGGGGGGAGGCATCAGTGGGGGTGGGGGAGGGAAGGGCAACAGAGTGACAGGGAGGGGCCAGGCTGACGCTGGGAGAGGAAAGGGGAGAGGCAGAGACGGGTGAGGGGAGGGGCAGGCACAAGAGCAATGGGGGGCAAGGGAAGGAGCAGGCACCAGGAGTATGGGGGGCGGGAAGGGAAGGGCAGGTTTCAGGATGAGGGGAAGGGTGGGCACCAAGAAGAAGGGGGCAAACCCCAGGGGGCACAGAAAGCAAAGGAAGGAGCAGGCATCCGGGCGCAAAGGGGTGTAAGGGACCGGGGGGGGGGAGGGCTCCAAGGGGCAGGGGAAATGAGGAGAGGGGTGGACTCCTGAGGGGCAGATGGGAGCTGAGGAGAGGGTCAGGTGCCAGGGGTGGGGGGGATGAGGAATGGGGCAGGCACCAGGGGGACAGTGTGAGGCAGGAACCTGGGGAAGAATCATAGAATCATAGAATATCAGGGTTGGAAGGGACCCCAGAAGGTCATCTAGTCCAACCCCCTGCTTGAAGCAGGACCAATCCAGTTAAATCATCCCAGCCAGGGCTTTGTCAAGCCTGACCTTAAAAACCTCTAAGGAGATTCTACCACCTCCCTAGGTAACGCATTCCAGTGTTTCACCACCCTCCTAGTGAAAAAGTTTTTCCTAATATCCAATCTAAACCTCCCCCACTGCAACTTGAGACCATTACTCCTCGTTCTGTCATCTGATACCATTGAGAACAGTCTAGAGCCATCCTCTTTGGAACCCCCTTTCAGGTAGTTGAAAGCAGCTATCAAATCCCCCCTCATTCTTCTCTTCTGCAGGCTAAACAATCCCAGCTCCCTCAGCCTCTCCTCATAACTCATGTGTTCCAGACCCCTAATCATTTTTGTTGCCCTTCGCTGGACTCTCTCCAATTTATCCACATCCTTCTTGTAGTGTGGGGCCCAAAACTGGACACAGTACTCCAGATGAGGCCTCACCAATGTCGAATAGAGGGGAACGATCACGTCCCTCGATCTGCTCGCTATGCCCCTACTTACACATCCCAAAATGCCATTGGCCTTCTTGGCAACAAGGGCACACTGCTGACTCATATCCAGCTTCTCGTCCACTGTCACCCCTAGGTCCTTTTCCGCAGAACTGCTGCCTAGCCATTCGGTCCCTAGTCTGTAGCGGTGCATTGGATTCTTCCATCCTAAGTGCAGGACCCTGCACTTATCCTTATTGAACCTCATCAGATTTCTTTTGGCCCAATCCTCCAATTTGTCTAGGTCCTTCTATATCCTATCCCTCCCCTCCAGCGTATCTACCACTCCTCCCAGTTTAGTATCATCTGCAAATTTGCTGAGAGTGCAATCCACACCATCCTCCAGATCATTTATGAAGATATTGAACAAAACCGGCCCCAGGACCGACCCTTGGGGCACTCCACTTGATACCGGCTGCCAACTAGACATGGAGCCATTGATCACTACCCGTTGAGCCCGACAATCTAGCCAGCTTTCTACCCACCTTATAGTGCATTCATCCAGCCCATACTTCCTTAACTTGCTGACAAGAATACTGTGGGAGACCGTGTCAAAAGCTTTGCTAAAGTCAAGAAACAATACATCCACTGCTTTCCCTTCATCCACAGAACCAGTAATCTCATCATAAAAGGTGATTAGATTAGTCAGGCATGAGGAGGTGGCTAGGGCAGGGGCAGTCACTGGAGGGCAGAGCAGGGTGAGGAGAGGAGCAGGTGTCAAGGGGACAGAGTGGGGTGATGGGAGGGGCCGGTGCCAAGGAGCTTAGGGAGAAGAGGAGGGGCAGGCACCAGGGAGTAGAGGGTGGGTGAGGAGAGGGGCTGGTGCCTAGGGGAAAAGAAGGGAGGGGTGGGCACCAGGAGGCCAAAGGTGAGGCATGTGGAGTGAGGGCAGGCATGAGGTGGGCAAAGGAGGGGACAGGGGAAGGTGCAGGTGACCAGGGCACAAAGGCTGTGAGGGGTGGGGCAGGCATCAGAGGGGAATGGGGGGAGTGAGGGGAGGGGCGGGCACCCAGAGGGAGATGGTGGGAAGGGGCAGACCCCAGGAGGGTTGCAGGGGGTAAGCAGAGGGGCAGATGCAAGGAGGGCAGGGGGGCAGATTGGGGAGAGAGGGAACAGGTGAGCACAAGGGGGGCAGAGAGAGGAGTGTGGAAAAGGGCAGGCCCTAGAAGGACAGAGGGGTGTGAAGGGAGGTGTGGGCACCGTGCGGGGCGAGGGAACACGAGGGGAGGAGCAGGACCCAGAGGGAGATGGTGGGAAGGGGCAGACCCCAGGAGGGTTGCAGGGGGTAAGCAGAGGGGCAGATGCAAGGAGGGCAGGGGGGGCAGATTGGGGAGTGAGGGAACAGGTGAGCACAAGGGGGGCAGAGAGAGGAGTGTGGAAAAGGGCAGGCCCTAGAAGGACAGAGGGGTGTGAAGGGAGGTGTGGGCACCGTGCGGGGCGAGGGAACACGAGGGGAGGAGCAGGACCCAGAGGGTAGAAGGAGTGAGGGAAGAAGCAGGCACCAGAGCACAGGGGGTGAGGGAAGGCGCTTGTGCCAGGGGGCAAGAGGAGGGGAGGGAGTCAGTGAGGGAGAAGGGAGAGGCAGGCTCTGGGGGAGAGGTGGACACTGGGGGGACGGTGGTGGTGTGTGGGATGGGGCAGGCACCAGGGCCAACAAGGGGTAAGGGGAGGGCAATGCATGAGGGAGTAGAGGGGACAAGGGAAGGGGTGGGTGCCAAAGGGGCAGGGGGTGGGGCAGGTGCCAGGGGGACAAAAGGGGAGGGAAAGGAAGGGGCAGACAAAAGGAGGGAAAGGGGGGAGGGCAGGAGTGGGTGCCGGGGCAGAGGGGAAGGGAGCCAGTGGGGCATAGGGGGTGGGCAGCAGGAAGGAAGGGAGCAAAGGGAGGGGCAGGTGCCATGGAGATTGAGGGGGGTTGAGCAGGGGGCAGACAAAAGGAGGGCAGGGGGGAGGGGCTGGCACCAGTGGGGCAGAGGGAAGGGTGAGTAGATGGGAGGACTCCAGAGGGGCAAAGGGGATCAGAATGAGGCTAGAAGAGGGGTGGGCACAGGTGGGCGAGGGGAGGGATGGGGGTGAGAAGGGTGGGAGCCAGGAGAGCATATGAGGATGAGGGGTGGGGTGGGCATCTGGGGTGAGGGCAGTGGCAGGCACAGGGGTGCTGATGGGGGCGACGGGAGGGTGGGAGACATGGGATCAGAGGGGGAAAAGGAAGAGGTGGATGCCAGGCGGTCAGGCCCGCCGAGAGGGCAGGCAAAGGGGGCAATTGCCCAGGGGCCTGGGCAATGTAAAAGGGCCCAGGGCCTCCGGCCAGTGCCAGCAGCACAGCACGGCTAAGGCAGGCTTTCTGCCTGCCCTTGCTGCATGCCATTCCCAGAAGCGGCCGGCGGCCCCTGGGAGGGGAGTCTCCACAGGCTGCCTCTGCCCTGAGTGCCGACTCTGCAGCTCCCATTGGCTGGGAACTGCGGCCAATGGGAGCTGTGGGGGCGTTTGTGACGTTGCACTCCATATGTTTATGAAAATTGCTTGTGAGTGTGAATATAATGTAACTGCAATATGCTTTATGCAAAAGGTCTCTTGTAAGTTTTCATTGCAAAGCTTATAATTTACTGAGTGTGTTCACTCTATGTGTATGTATGTATCATTCTTGTATCCGAAACTAGAAATATGAAGTATTACTCTGAAGTCCTATTGTAACTATGCAAAGTGTGGGCCATTAATGGTGGCTTAGAGTCTTGATGGCTCCCACTGACTGGGACAATTGGTTGTAAATGGTTTATTTACTTGTACGCCTTCCTGTGTATGTGGTTGCCAGCCAGTGAGTAATGAAGTCTCACAGAACATGTGACCATGTCACCTGGTACCGGAATCTGTCTTAAACTTGGTGCTTTTCCATTTAGAGGATGGGGGGGACCCAGAGAGAGACAAAGGATTCTTGCCTTGTGCCAAAGCTATAAAAGGGGGTGGAACAGAACAAAGGGGGCTGCCAGTCATGAAAAATCCCCGAGTTACTACCTGAGCTGGAACAAGGACTGTACCAGGGGAAAGGATTGGGCCCAGACTAGGATGGAGTCTAGTCTGTGAAAGAAGCTTATTGAAACATCTCTGAGGGCGAGATTTACATGTATTCAGTTTCTTAAATGTATTAGGCTTAGACTTGCGTGTTTTGTTTTATTTTGCTTGGTAACTTACTTTGTTCTGTCTGTTATTATTTGAAACCACTTAAATCCTACTTTTTATACTTAATAAAATCACTTTCATTTATTAATTAACCCAGAGTAAGTGATTAATACCTGGTGGAGCAAACAGCTGTGCATATCTCTCTATCAGTGATATAGAGGGCAGACAATTTATGAGTTTACCCTGTATAAGCTTTATACAGAGTAAAACGTATTTATTTGAGGTTTGGATCCCATTGGGAGCTGGGCATCTGGGTGCTGGAGACAGGAGTACTTATTGAGTGGTTTTCAGTTAAAGCCTGCAGCTTTGGGGACGTGGTTCAGCAGGCTTGTGTGTCTGGCTCAGGAAGACAGGGTTCTGGAGTCCCAAGCTGACAGGGAAAACTAAGGCTCAGCGGTAGTTTCAACACATCAGGTGACAGTCCCAAGGGGGTCTCTGTGACCGAACCTGTCACAGCAGCCTCCCCACCTAGAAGCCACTGCCAGAGGGGTGTGCCGGCCACTTTTGGAAGCCGCCCAAGGTAAGCACCGACCCCCTGACCCCCTCCTACACCCCAACCCCCTGCCCTAGCCTAGAGCCCGCACCCTGAACCCCCTCCCAGAGCCTGCACCCCCTCCTGCACCCAAACTCCCTCCCAGAGCCCGTACCTGTCCCGCACCCAAACTCCCTCCCAGAGTCCAACCCCGCACCCCCTCCCACACCCAAACTCCCTCCCAGAGTCTGCACCCCCACACCTCCCCCAGCACCTCAACCCCTTGCCCCAGCCTGGTGAAAGTGAGTGAGGGTGGGGGAGAGCGAATGACGGAGTGAAGGGGGATGGAGAGAGTGGGGGCCGGGCCTTGGAGAAGGGGTGGAACAGGGGCATGGCCTCAGGAAAGAGGTGGGGCAAAGGTATTTGCATTTGCGTGATTAGACAGTTGGCAACCCTACCAGGGGGCATGTGGAAGTCTTGGCCATGCCAGAAGAGCGCGGCCAGCAGCGCAGCCGGCAGCTAGCTGGGCACCAGCCAGCGCAGGCATAGCACCGCCCTAATGTCAGGCGGACGGTGTCCACGTGGGCACAGCTTGTGGGTGTAGGGAGGTTTATTGACTGTTCTGCCCAGGGCCCGGAATAGCTGTCGGGAGGTCTGCAGGCAGTAGAAGGGGGTGAAGTGATGGGTGGGCTCCAGGGTGCAGAGGGTGTTTGGGGAGAGGGGTAGGTGCCAGGAGGGCAGGGGGACACGGTGGGTGGGGGCAGGGGCACGTGCCAGGGAGACAAAGTTGGGGGACAGGGGCAGGGGCCAAGGGGAGCAGAAAGGGGTTGAAAGGAGGGGGTGGGGTGACGTGAGGTGGAGGGGGGCAGGATAAAGGCAGGGACCAGGTGAGCACAGGGGTGAGTGAAGGGTAAGGGAGGGGCAGGTGCCATGGGTGTAGAGGGATGATGGCGGGCAGGCCCCAAGGAATCTCTCTTGGTCTGGGGCCATGTGTGGTTGGTTTGTTACTAAGAGCAGGTTGGTGCCGTCCCCACACACAGGACAAAGACGCAATAATCAGATAATCAAATCTCCCCGGACTGTCTGGCAGATCCTGGCGTGTGTCTCTGCGTCTCACATGTTTCCGATCCTCAGACAGGATCTTGCTCCCTCCATCTGGGAGAAGCTGCACCGGGGGCCAGTCCCAGTTCACACCTGCACAGCGCGTCTGCACTAGGGGTTTGCACGGGGACACCGACATGCCTGAGACACTGCTGTGCCAGGAGCCATAACCCCTCCCCTCCCTGGGGTTATGGATCAATAATTACAGGGTCACGGGAGCAGGGCAGCTGGACCCTGGGCTCCCAGCTGGGGACCCGACCCACCGGACTGCAGGGTCATTCTCGCTCCCAAGCTCTGGCTGAGGGCCCGTGGCAGTGTTTAGACACAGGGGGGCGTCTTCAGCAGGAGAGATTGAGGGAGCCCCACGTCAGACACCCGGAACCCAGCGGTTCCAGCCCTCACCTGATAGCGGGGAGACCCCCATTCCAATTCCTGCTCCACATCCCATGGGGGGATGGAACCGGGGGCTCCCCGCTGAGGGCCCAGCCATGGGGCTACAGGCTGGAAGGGAAGCGGCGGCAGCTTTTTCTGTCCATTGAAACTCGTCAGGAAACTCGTCATGAATCGGCAAATAGTGTCAGTCGACCCGAAATATAATTTTTCAGCAAAAAAACTATTTGCACCCAAATTTCACCCAGCTCCACTGAAAACCTGTCTGAACAACTTCGGAGCCCAATTCCCAGTGACTTGCAGTGAGTGACTCTCAGCATCCCCAAAAACACACAGTGACGGCCAGACCAGACTCAGGACATCAGCTATGAAACACTCCAGAGCTGCTATTTAATTTGCCCTGGGTAGAAAAAATCCCCCTGGGCCCAATCTCACACCCACAAATCAGGCTGAAAATGGAGACTCGGCTCCAGCCTCAACTCTTTGCCCGGAGTGATTTGTCCCGTGGACTCTGCCAGCGGCACAGATCCTCTGCAGATACACCTGGGCGTCTCCCAGAGCGGATAATGGTCCCAGAGACCATCCCAGAGCCCGTCTCCATCTAGAGTCTCCATAGAGTGTCTCCATCTAACGACTGCGCCAGCCACCCCCCCTCGCTCTCATTAACTGGCCCTGGCTCAGACACGCTGGGAACTTTCACACCCAGCCACTGGAGACACTTTGGGAAAAAATGGTGAGTGCTGAGCACCCACCGGTAGGCCTGCCCATCAGCTCCCCCCTCCCCCCAGCACCTCAGCCCACCAGCAGCCCTGATGATCAGAGCCTCCCCCGCCCTCCCGCCGTGATCAGCTGTTCAGTGGCCTGCAGGAGGCACTGGGGTGAGGGGGAGGAGCAAGGGCAGGGCGCGCTTGGGGGAGGGGGTGGAACAGGGTGGGAAGAGGTGGGGCGGGGGTGGAGCAGGGTGGAAAGAAGCAGGGTGGGGGTGGGACCTTGGAGGAAGGGGTGGAGTGGGGGTGGGGCCTGGGGCAGTGCGGGGGTCAAGCACCGCCTGGCACACTAGGAAGTTGGCACCTCTGGCCCCTGGGATCAGGATCTGGGATGGTACTCTCCCAGGAGTGACAGAAACTCCCTAAAGGTAGACGGGCCACCGGTGCCTGAACCGTGGCCCTGCCCACCCAGGCCACACCTTCCCCCCAAGGCCCCAACCCCACTCCACCCTTTCTCCCCAAGCTCCTGTCCCCGCACCACCCCTTCTCCCCACGCCCCCGCCCTCACACTGCCCCTTCTCCTCACGCTGCCTCTTCCCCCCAAGACCCCACCCCCCTGGTTGCTTCTATCTTAACCCTAACCCTCATGACTGGTAAAAAGTGGGAGGCCAAACCCTTCCACTTTTAAAAGTGATGGGGCCATGGCCCCCTGTCACCCCTTCTTCTGGCGAGGAGACACAGGGCCTTGGGGCAGTGTCAGTGAGTTTCATGCTGGGGGTATGAGTGGGGTTTTACACCCCAGCTGCTGGAGCTCTGTGTATCGAGGGTATGAGGATGTCATAACAGTCATGTGAGCCCCACATTGTCCTGCCAACATGGCTCAGCCCTGACATCGGCTGGAGTCTCTCCCTGGGGAGGAACCGTCCCTGCGGCCCATTCAGGTCTTGCCTCCCTGCGGAGATGGCCAGTGAGGCTGCCGTTAATGTGAGTTATGATGGGAGGTCCTGTCTGCTGGGAACCAGACTCTCAGCCTGGGCTGGAATCAGTGATTGGCGATTCACTGTCCCCTTGAGTCAGCTGGCTCCCCTTCCCCTCGCAGTATGATAACAGCGATGCTCACACTTGGTGATACCCCCCAGTGCCCCAGCGGGCAGGGCGAGGGCCTGTCCAAGGAGCAATGGGTGCAATCTTCAGCAAGGGAGACTGAGGCTGGAGATGAGGAAACACTTTCTAACTCTCAGGGCAGTAAAGCTCTGGACCTGGCTCCAAGGGAGGTTGTGGGATCCCCGTCACTGGGGGTTTGTAAGAAAAGGCTGGACAAACCCGTCAGGGATGGTCTAGGCCCTGCCCCAGCATGGTGGGGCTGAACTAGGTGACCTCTCGAGGTCCCTTCCTGCCCTGCATTGCTATGAGTCTAGGTTACAGCTGTTCTGGGGCTGGGCCCAGGGGGCTCTAAGCGTGGTGTGCGGCACATGGGGGAGTTAACACGGTGAGTGATCATGGTAGCTCAGTGTCCCTGCCAGGGACCTGGGTTGGCACGTGTCTGGCTGCCTGCACCCAGCTCAGCAGGGCGTTACTGTGCTGTGTGGACAGGACCTAGGGTTGCCACCTATCCAGGTTTACCAGGATTGTCCCTTTGTTCAGGTCACCTGGGAAATCTGTGAGTCTGTCCCCGGGTGTGTGGTGGCTGTAGCCGGGCAGCCGCGGGGTAGTGATGCCTGCACAGAGGGAGCTCTGGGTCCAGAGTGCCTGGGAGCCGTGGGGATGGGGCAGCTTGGGAGCAGCGAGTGATATGGGGAGCTCGGGGCCAGTACGGCCCATTTACACCTCACAGGTACTGGATGTGGGGGGTCACTGCTGGGATGGGGGGGAGGGGGAGTGGAGTAGATCTGGCACCATGTCCTGCTTGGCGAGGTTGGTTCCCGGCTCAGCCCCAGGAACAGGAGCCTATGGGGGCTAGTGCCCTCTCCCAGGGGTGGGATAGCAACACAGTGCCAGGGGATGGGGCGTCAGTGCCTGGAGTGAGGGGACAGGTGGTGGATGTGGAGCAGGCAGATGTCCTGGGTTTTTTTGCACCTCAGAGCGGGCGACCCTAACAGGACCCCCAGCGGTGCTTGTGTAACTGCCCTTGGTGTCCCTCCCACCAGCTCTATGCGGTAGGATGCCCCGGAGTGCAGGTACCCCTGGGCAAGTTGTACTGCAATGTGTGTGCATGGGGGCAGCATTTCATCACTAATCAGCCCTTTCCCAAAGGGGCCACGTCCCTGCTCTGCAATAAACCTGGGGTGTCGCCTGCCCCTTTCCACCCACCCCCAATGATATTGCTGTTTCCAGCCTCTTGCTTTTGATATGAAAGTGCAGGTGCGCTGGGGAAATGAGGAGAGAGCTCTCAGGGGCAGGTGGGATGCTGACGTGAATAAAGTGTCGGTTTTATGTACAGTACCTGCATATAGCTGGGCTCTTCTCAACCCTGAAAGAAAATACACAGAGAGATGAGAACTCCCCTGAACACAGACATGCCGAATAGGACACAGTATATAACAAGGATTATATTAAGGGTGTGTGGGGGGGAGGGGAGGGGGAGGAAATGGAACTTACCAAGCCCCAATTCAGTGAAGAGTTTCCCTAGAAAACAATAAATAAATAGACCTGAAACCATGCTTATAAAAAGGGATGGGAGTCAGAAACCTAAAAAAAGTTTAATTCTTTAGACAAAAGATGCACCTAGGCATTCACAACAGTTCCAGACACTTACACAGCCCTAAACAAGCAGTGCTGAAGGAATGTTAAGAGTGAAACTGCTGAGCTGCTAGCAAAAATATGCATCTAATTAAAATCAGCTACTGATCCAGAGGAAAAGAGGGTAGGAAATGTTGCACCTATATTTTTTAAAAAGTGCAAGAGAGATAAGGAGAATTACAGCCCAGTAAACTTAAGTTCAGATCCTGGTAAATTGGTTGAAATTATAATTAAAAATAGAATCCAAAAGCACGTAGATGAACACATAGCACCAACTCCATGGGTGCTCCAGGGCTGGAGCACCCATGGGAAAAAAATGGTGGGTGCTGAGCACCCATCGGCAGCCAACTCTCCTGCACCCCAGTGCCTCCCACCCACCAGCTGATCAGTGCCTCCTCCTCCCTCCCAGCGCCTCCTGCCTGCTGTGGATCAGCTGTTCTGTGGCATGCAGGAGGCACTGAGGGGGGAGTTGGAGGAGCAAGGGCCGGGCGCACTCAGGGGAGGAGGTGCAATGGGGTGGAAAGAGGTGGGGCGGGGCCTTGGGGAAAGGGGTGGAGTGGGGAGTGGGGTCTGGGGCAGAACCAGGGGATTGAGCATCCCCCACGCACATTAGAAAGTCGGTGCCTCTGTTGGTCACTATCTCCAACAGGCTAGAGCAGAAATTGAGGGGAGGGGTTCAAAAAAGGGAGAAGGTGTTAATTATAGTATGGAAAGATTTCAGTGTGGGGAGAGATGTTATTATTAGGACTGTTCAGAGAGGAGACAGCAGAGGACATGGCAGAGGTGCACATACTAATGAAAAGCATGGAGATGGTAAATCGATTATCGGATGGTCCTAGTCACCCTCTCTCAACAGTTTTATAAGTTGCTGCCTTTCAATTTCATTGAAATACTTCTCCAAGAAATACACAGTGAATCTTCACCATCAGGTATCACTCAGACCAAGACCTGAGTAGCATTATACATATCAAGGGAGAGTGAGGACAGTCACAGTATGTTAGATAGAACTGCAAAATTATTGGGGATGTAAAACCTCCCATTTCAGGGCATAAGCTGACCCTGAACTGCCTAGAGCTAGGAAGAAACGTCCCCTCTGGGCAGGGTGTTCCATGACTGGGGTTTCTGGAACCTTTCTCTGAAGCAACTGGTGCTGTGGGAGACAGGATTCCACAGTAGCTTCTTCCCTGGTCTGATCTGCTATGGCAAATCTGGCAAAGATTCTGTTTACTGAATGTACAGGTCAAGAGTTACTACACAAAATCACATTACAGTACCTAGGTTTCAGAGTAGAAGCCGTGTTAGTCTGTATCAGCAAAAAGAAAAGGAGGACTTGTGGCACCTTAGAGACTAACACATTTATTTGGGCATAAGCTTTCGTGGGTTGAAACCCACTTGATGCATCCGATGAAGTAGGTTTTATCCCATGAAAGCTTATGCCCAAATAAATTGGTTAGTCTCTAAGGTGCCACAAGTACTCCTCGTTCTTATTACAGTACCTAGGTAAAAAGAAAAGGAGGACTTGTGGCACCTTAGAGACTAACCAATTTATTTGACCACAAGCTTTTGTCCCAAATGTCAACTCTAAGTTAATGCATTTGTGAAAATCTACCATGAAATGTCATAAAAATAAATCACAACTTAAATGTCTGAAAGTTTAGAAATTTACAATTATATGTCTAACCCCAGCCCCAACCTTTGTGCAGCCAATTTCTCCTTGGCCACCACCTTCCGGATGGGGAATGTCCCTGATGGGGAAGTTAGAAATATTATTATAACTTAACATTTCCTCATCACTAACTATATAGTGAATGACAAAATAATACATTCATCTGCTCCCTTCTGTCAATGACTAGGAAGCAAATCCCCAGGTTACCAGTGCCCCAGCCACTGAAATAGACATAGCGAGTAAGTGTAGACCGGAAGGGGTTATGATGGAGCTCTACTTTGCATGCAGTATAAAGCAACTGTGTTCCATTTGATAAGAGACGTCAATAGCTGCTTAGGAAGTATAAGTTATATTCCCTCTTCGCTAACATTAACGAAGAAACATTACCTTTTTCTTCACGATGTTCTTCTACAAATAAATCATAAAGAAGGGGATTTGATTTAACATATTGCACATTTACAGGCATATTTTCTACTATTATCTACACATACACAGGCTTACAGATGTTCCCATTGACTGCATTACTGTCAGGCCCTTGTGTAATGTGATTATGCAGTCATTTGCTTAGCAACATTATTTCCATTTTTTAAAAATTGCCACACAGTTGTGCTCCATAACTGGTGCTTCTGATTTTTGGGTTTAACCAATAAACACTAATAAAAAAAAATCCCTAATAAAAAGAAATACTTCCAAAGAGAACCAGCTGTAACAAAACAGCAATTTCTGCCTGAGTCTGCAGAGAACCTGAAACCAGTGATCTGAGAGATATGAACTGCTCCCTTCATCTCAGGTTGTAGATTCTAAAGCCTTAAAGTGACAGCATTCATCTCTATTTCATGGCTGATAATTTGATCAGAACCACTCAGTACTGTTTGATGTAGTGACAGAAATTGGGGTAGAGTGCACTGAGGCAGCTACTTGCCATGAAGGCTGCTGGGTTTAGAATAATGAAATCAAGGCCTTTCCCTCCCAAATTTAATGTCACCTCTGCCTGTGGTCAAAGGGGGCAGATGTATCCCCTCCTCAGTCTGAAATGCCACCCAGAGTAGGTCTTCACTGCAGAGTTAGCCCACATGGTCAGCACCCGGGTCTGAGCCCCTGGGCTAACCTAACCTGGGTGAGAGCAGCCCCACTGCAAAGCCCTACCCCATTACTGTGTCCGCACTGGCGCTGCGAACCCCGTGTGAGTCCCTAGGACTGCTGGAAACATATCCCATAGTTCTCCATGCTGAGTGAGCTGAGCCACGCTGATTCTTTCCCAGTGAATTATGAGAGAACTTGTCTGTGCTTCTGGCACACCCGAGGGAATCATGGGATGGCACTGGAGGACTGTCAGCGTTGAGTGATTTAGCCTGTGTCCTCACTGCAGAATGGGCAGATTACCAGCCCAAGGGAAAGTGTTACCCAGGCTCTAACCCTTAGCCCCAGATGGGCCAGCTCCCCTGGACTGAAAGCCCCACTAAACTCAGAGGGTTGTGCGTGGATGGGAGTGGGGGAGTTGGAGGCATCACTTAAGTAAGAGCCTGGCTAACTGCAGTAAAGACACAAAAACATCTCTCACACCTGCCCAGCTGCCCAAACCTCCAGCTCCCCTGCCCCAAACACCTGGGATGCAGTGATATATTTATAATACAAAAATCTCTATTTTTCATGGAAAGCAGCAGTGAAAGAATGCAACCCGTGGGCACTGAGGGTCCCCTTCCTTACATGGCCACTGACCTGTCAGAAGACAGGGGATCCACAGCAATCCCAAAGCACAAGCCATATAGGGGCCTCAGCAGCTCTTAAGCACTGCACAGCCAGATCCCATAGGCACCCATTCTACGAGATCACACAGAGAGGCTCAGGGGCAGACCAGAGTAGGAGGCCTGGTCAGTGGGTCTGTGAGCTGAGCAGATTGACTGGACCCAACCTCACATCCAGAACCACGTTAGGCTGAGATTTGAATGAAAGCGACACAAGGAGCCAGAGAGTAAACTCTCAGTGCAGCCCCAACTCTGCCAGCTGAGCATGGCCACTAGCAAAGGCCACTGGACATGATCACATCACAGTGAGCAATGGCACAGTGTACTGGGCAATCAGGGCAACACGATGTTCTGTGCATTGAGCTCACCACCTCACAAGGCCCTGCCTTGTTTACACCAACTTTACCCAAGGTGCTTTTCAACTGATTCAGTTAATCTGGTAAAAGTTTGTGTGTAGACACAGCTCAAGGGAGTTTAATGGGGAATCCCCAATGAGATTTTGGAGTGCCCCCTGCTGAGAGAGGGCACCAATCACACACTGGTCTCAACCCAGAGTCAAGTAATGACCCTGGCACAGCAGTGAAAGGGTTACATGGGACACTGGGCTCGTGGTTTATATTCTAAATGTTACTTCTGCACTAGCCCTGCTGCAGCACTCACAGCTACATTGCAGCAGCCTTAGCTGAAATTACCCATTCAACTCTCAATCAGGAAATAAGCCAGCCACAGAGCAGACCCTGCAGGTCATCACAGCAGTGATGGGGTTAATTCAGTGTGTCTCAGCCATTTCAGGTTGTTCATTCCTCAGTGAAAGTCAAAAATTTTCGCAACCCCCTTTTATTTACTCTAAAAGTCAGAGTAAAACATATATCAATAACAAAGATAAGCCTGGATAACCCATCACAACCACTACAATTATTGTATGTGACCTTCCAAACTCTGAAGGTTTTAGCAGCCCCAAAGTTATTCTAGACATTTTATTTTCTTTGCTTTGCAACAGTTATAATATTTTCAACATCTCACAACCCACCCACTCCCAACTCGATAGCCTTTCGTGACCCCACTCCACAGGGTCGTGACCCGCCAATTGATAAATGCTGGGTTAATTAGTACAGCAGAGATGCCTGAGGGAATCACGTTTCTGTGATGATCTCAAGATGTCAGTCATAACCTCCCTTTGGTGTAACTGCAAATGACCCATCTACAGAGAATCTTGGTACTTGCTCATCTCTTCATTGTTTGCAAATAGCTACATAAAATCTTTAACAAGCCGCATTGGCCCAGACACTGACCTTTCTGTCTCGCCAGGTCAGATCGCAGCATCTCTAGGGGGAGAAAAGGGCGAGAGGTGAGATTTCACCATCATGTTTATGGACACATCACTACTGTTAACTACAGCACAATCACATTAGGGTGAGAGGGGCAGAGAGACAACAAATGGACACAGACAGATCTGTCCAGGGGCCTTTGCACTCAGAGTCCCCTCTGCCTGGGACTGAGTCATGGTAGCAGATAATAGTGGGGACAGGGTGACGTATCCCTTCCAGTGGCCACTTAAAGGTCTGCCCCCAGAAGTCACTCCTGCTGCCTGGGCCTCTCCTCTCAGATCTGGCTGGTGTGAGAGGGGTTGAGAGAAGGTCTCTTTGTCTTAGGCCAGGTGTACACACAAGGCTTCACTGGTTTAACTTCAAAGTGTGTACAATAGCAGGATACCTCTCCCCAGCATGGAGGTGCTGCCATTCCTCAGTTTCCCCTGTCAGACAGAGGCTCCCCAGTGGGCCTGCAGTTTGCAGCTGCTGGAGGGATAATTTATAGTCAAGTAATTCTGGGTTTAGCTCTCTGGCCAAAGCTCTATCAGGGCCCTTCCCTTTCCTGGAACAACAAAAACTCCAATGAGCAAAACAGCTAAACAATCTGCTTCTCCCCCCTGCTACTGGGTCACAGCCCTTCCCTGGGCTCAATAATCCTTCCAGACTCCAGACAGCTCATCCCTCGCCCATCTCTCCAACTCTGCAGTTCCTTGTCCAGGGCTCAGTCAGTCCTCATCCCCTCATCGTTGGGGTTTATGTCCATCTCCTTCAGGTGGCATAGTGGGAGGTCCTGGGTTCCAGCCCAGGGACCCCCAGGTATGCAGGGACTGTTCACTGTGCTCAGTAACCTTGAATTGCTTTTCTCTGGGCCGCTTCCTACACAGCCTGTGGCTTTCTAGGCTTCTCTGAAGCCTCTCCCGGGTTGGCTGCTTCTCCGCTCTCCCCAGGGCCTCTTCTGGCTAAGCCCCTCTCTGGCTATGTTGCCAAGCCTCCTGCCAGGTTGCTGTGGATAGACCCAGACCAGGTCTTTTTCTGCACCTGGCCGCCAGCCTATATTCCATCCTGGTCACGTGACCTGCCAGGGATACTAGCTGGAGGCTCCTCCATGGAGTTGTGGGCATAGGCAATATAACTGGCACAGTTCACAGAGTCACCTGACACTTGTCCATTCTGAAATGAGGTCTTGTGGTCTGTCTGCTCGATGGAGAAGGTGAGCCTCCAGTTTTGGGAGGGCCTAAGTCCACCCCATCCCCGAAGTCAGCTGATCCTGGTCAAGTGTCCCTCCTCACAGGGGTTTAGGTGCCTATGCCTGGAGATTAGACACCTAAATACCTTTGTGATCCAGGCCTTAGCGGCCAAGAGAGAGCAATCAAGGGAGCTGTTCCTTGGTACCAGGGTGGTGGTCTCTGAGCTGAGGTTTCTGCACAAAGAGCAATTGCCTGTGTGCAGCTTTGGCCATGTCCGATACTGGTAGAGAGGACCCTTGATCGGGGCATCAGTGTTGCCACCCTCCTGATTTTATCACAGGGAGGGTGGGGAGAAAAGACTGAAAACGTGACAGCTAAAGGCTCCAAAACCAGAAGGCAAATAAAATGAATCCCAAATTATTATTTTTAAGTCGATCTCATGATTTTGGGGGCCTGACTCATGGTCTTTGAGTATTTGAGGTTGGCCATACTGAAGGCTGCACCTGGGGACTCCGCAGTCCCCTGCTTCAAAGAAACCACAGATCTGGGTGGCGATGAGCCCCAGCTCACCCCATGGCAGTGGCAGAGGTGTTATTGCAATGCAGGAGATTTGATCTTGGGTTCTCCCAAGCAGAATGCTCTGGGGTCTGGGCAGAAGGGAAACAAGATGTCTAAAGCAGTTAGAGACAGATCCACAAAGGTATTTCAGAACCTAACTGCCAGGGGCTAGTTCACGAGAGAATCTAGGAGTGGTGACACTGTGCTCCACAGAGCCTGTGTTAGTCACCCAGGCTCCCTATACCTATACAATGAATCGGGGGAGAATCGAGAGATGCCTTAGAATGGGATTCACAAAAGCCAGCATTCTAGGCAGGGAGCCGCCTAAGTTGGCCAATGGGAGATGCTGACCAGAGGGGTGTTTGCTAAGCTCCACCCCCTTTCAGAGTTCAGCACCGAAGTCCAGGCTGCAGGGAGCTGCCTAACCCTGCTAGCGATTCTCAGCTGGAAAACGGGTTCCAAGTCAGGTGCTTATGAGAACAGGTTAAGTGCCTGCCTAACTCCATGCAAAATGGCCAGAGGAGGAGCTGTCACCTCCCTTCTGACTTCTAGCCCAGTGGTTAGGGCCCTCATTTGGGATGTGGGAGACCCAGGTTCAATTTCCCCTCTGCCTGCAGGGGACAAAGGATTTGACAGCGGGGGTCTCTCCCTCTCAGGAAAGTGCTGTAACCAACCACTGAGCCCTGGGATATTCTGATGTGGGGCTCCCTCAGACTCTCCTGAGGAAGCTGTGCTACTGCATAGAAATAATTAAAGAGTCTCTGGAGCTGGGGACTGGCTCCCTGGGTCTCTCACATCCCAGGTGGCAACCCTCACCACCAGGCTATGGCGTCTCTCTCTCTCGGTCCCAATGATGAGGTGGTTATACATAGTGGAACAACCTCATCAGGAGAGATGGAGGTGGGAGCTCACAGCTCAGTGGTTACGGCACTCTTCTGAGCGGTGGGAGACCCCTATCCAAAATCTGTCACTATCAGGGGTAAGGGAAAATTAAATCCGAGTCTCCCAAGTGAGCTCTCTAACCACTGGGCTGAAGGTTATAAGGGAGATGGCACGACCAGGTCCTCCTTTGGCCAGATTTTGTATGGGTCCTGATCTGGTAGGAGTGCTCTGAGAACACCTGTCAGATCAGGCTCTGTAGGTAAGACAGGCTACTGTATTTCAGGTTCCCCAAAAGAGGACTCTGCTGTGGGGAGAATGGGGTGGTGGGAGGGAACGGAGTTGGAGAGGGTATGGGGGGGTGCTGGAGGAGCGTGGGTACTGGGAGAAGGTATTTGGGGTGTTGGAGGGTATGTGTGTACTGGGATCTCACACTCGAAGTGGGGGGCAGTGTTGCTCTCTGTCATGGTGGCACGGTAGCTGGCGCAGGCCTGGGACGCAGCACCAGCCCAACAGTCAGCGCCTCTGTGCAGGCCTCTCCCCGTCCCCAGGGCTGGGTGCTGGGGCCTGGATGGGTGGGATCCAGCTGTGGCTGCAGGGAAGGGACCAATCGGGGTGCGAGACGGCTCTTTCTGAGCTACAATGTGTGTACCGCAAAAATCTCAGAAATTGCCTCTTATTTGAAAAATCTGCCCGGATGGAGGGTGGAAGATCAAAAAAGAGGCAATGTCCAGAAAAACCCAGAAATAACCCTAGATAGGCATCTGGGTGCCTAGACTAAAGCAGCCGTGCACATGCCCAGAGGCAGAAACACAGGTGCCCAGGGAACTTTTTACTGCAAAAGATGTAGGCATTGAGTGAGTTTAAGCACCTACAAGGTTAACTGGCAGACGAGAAAGGGTTTTGTGGATTGCAGCAGTGCCTAAAACTGAGACTTGGGTGCCTAAATCAGGAGTTTAGGTACCTATGTCTCTTTGTGTATCTGGGCTTTAGTGACTAGGCGGGAGCAATCAAGGAAGCTGCTCCTTGGTAGAAGGGCAGAGATTTCTGAGATTTCTGTGCAAAGGGCAATTGCCTGCTGGCAGTTTTGGCCACATCTGTTCCAGACAAAGAGGACCTGTGTACATTCTGATAATAAATTATACTAGGAGATACCCTCCCTACTTGTCACTGAATTCTCTACCAATAGGGAAATGACCTGCTGCAAGGCCCCCAAATCTGCTGCCATTCAGTGGAAGTTCCATGTGCCGTTCATTTAACGTCACATTTTTGTTTCCAACTGAGACAATATGGATCCCCGCTGACTAGTGAACAACAATGCCAGGACTGGATTGTTTAGTGAGAGCTATAGGGGTGAATGCACTTGATATTTTCTTCAGGTTGAATGATTTGTTCTCCCTCAGCCTCGCTCCATCTCTCAGTGTCCAAATCTCTCTTCAGAACATTGATGTCCAGTCCCTGTGTCAACCCCTCTCTTTAAAAGGAAGAAAAAACCCCAAAACAGAAAATCTCCCTCATTCTCTCCACATTCTGTCCCTTTCTAACTTTACCTTTCATTCTGTGTTGCCTCCAGAAGCAGTAACTGGCCAGGGCAATCAGAAGAGCCAGGAGAGCTAGGATCACACCCAGAGCCACCATCCAGGGATTGACCCTTGGGAAAAACAGCTCTGCAAAAGAAAGCGGCATTGTGACAATGTGGAAACTGTCTGTAATGTTTTTATGATTTTCTACCTATCACCTTGGTATTGCTACCCAGTGGGTGCAGAAGGGTTAAAATGCTGCCCCTGGAGCAAAGCAGGAGACATGAGATGTTTGTCTGGGGTGATCTGAATGGGTCGCTCAGGACTGGCTGGGACCAGCCCATATCAATGGAAGCCCTGAGAGAGACAGGAGACGCCTGAAGGACTGGGTGAACATGTGAGCTCAGCACGGCTCTGCAGCAGGCCAATGATGGGCAGAGGTGACAGGAGGCAGTGGTAAGAACTGGGCTCACAGAAACACAGGGCTCTCACCTGGGACTAAGATAAAGGATCAGAGACAAAGAAAGGACACCAACATGGTTCCTACAGCTGCCTGTCTCATAGGATGTCAGCAACCAGGTCATGGGTGGTCTGGCCTCATGGTTGGAGCAAGAGTTCCGCATACCAGTTAGAACTAGATCCAGATGGGGTGGGCCTGGGATCAAAGCCAAGAGTCAGAGCTGGGAGTGAGAAGCCTAAGCCCCAAGGTTAATCAGCATCACAGTCAGAAGGTACAGTGGAGGGGGTCAGAGCCAGGAAGTAGCTGGGGACTGGAACAGAAATGGTTACAGACAGGTACAAAATGCACTGTGTAGATACTGGATTGCTGACTGCTGCTACAAAGCTTAAGCATCAGTCTGCTGACTCCTGCAACCCATCAGGAAGCACAGTCAAACACACAGCTTGTATGAGGGCCACCTGTGCTCATTAGATTGCCAAGAGACTGACTGTGCTGGAGACGGCCCCTGACAAGGGAGCCCTGGGGCTGGTATGGGCTGTGTTTTAACCTTGGCCTCTCTATGCTAACCTAAGGGCTTCCTGATTCTGTATTCCAGCTGACTATTAAAAGGCAAAGGCTGCCTGGTATCACTGCAGATTCTTACTCGCTGAAGTCTGTTGGCCCCTGAAGGGAGTAAAAGTCTCTGAAAGAGCGTCTACCTCACAGGGGCTTGCTGGGCAGAGCTCACTGTGAGAAGCAGGAGTGCTGGAGCCTGGAGGCTCAGTGGAGCCTGTGTTGCCTATTCTTGTGGCAAAATCTGACCCCTTGGGGGTCTGGCACTCTCAAGGGCCCCTCCCTGCTTAAAGGCTGGGGCACAGAACAAATTGTGTAAATCCATGACAGTCGCTGGTGAGATACGGAATGCACCTGCAGTATTTTGCAATGAGTTACTTAGCACAGATTCTGTAAATCTGTGACAGTCATTAGTCTGCAAACCCTGACAGACTAAATGCGGTCATATTGTGAGCAAAGAGTGTGTCTGACTGGAATAGTCATCGGGGGCTACCTATGGATTTCATGGTGAGCTATGGCCCTCCATGCTTTGCTTCTAAACCAGTGGAAGTCCAAGCCTTAACCTGCTTATGGAATATGGCGAAGGTCCCAGCCGCATTGCAGATCTGACCTGTGTCGCAGTGCAGCCAGAGACACCCTGACATGGCCGTAGTTGCAGTGTCATTGGGCCTTACATGGGCAGAAAATACATGGTCACGTTTTTGAAAGGGTAACATAGGAACTAGTGAAACCAGCATGGTCTCTGAATCCTTGGGGTTGGTCTGAGCGGGAGAGAGGCAGATCCCCCTTCCTACAACAGACCAGTGAAATACTTACAGGGAACAAACAGGGAGCCCAGCTTGTTAAATATTAATCCCTCTGTGATGCTGGCAGATGAGATGCCTGCTCATGCCAAGTCCCCAGGACTCACTGAACACTTATACATGCACAGCTGAAAACCAGTCTTGCTTATCTATGTGTTAGCATCATCAAAATAAATAACAGAGGTTAAGTTGATAGGGATGTGTTTAGTGTTTTCCAAAATGCTTGTAGGATGCTGCATGCATTGTTCTCACTCAACTATACCCCATGGTATGAAGTGATAGCAAGCATTGGCATTGTAAACCTCTGTGACTATGTAACTCATCAAAAAAAGAAAAAGTCCTCCTGTTCATTATCTGCAAATGAGCCATTGTGTGAGATCAGGGATCAAAGACTTTGTTAAGTGCATTCCTTCCCCACCCCATGAAAAAGGGACCTGCATGGGAAGTGTTGTTGTGAGCTTGGCTCCTGTGAGAAGAAGTTATAAGTATGAACACAAGGAAAAATTCTTCATCTCTGGACAGTTTGGATTCTAAGAGGGCAGAATAACTGAACAAGGAGGTGGTGATCCCCTGAGTTATTCTGGGTAGCCCTGAAAGAGGTTTTGGAAATTGACAGATTACTACATCTCTGCTACCTTTTGAAATTATAGACTGTGATTCACCTGTACTTGTATTTTTACCTGCTTTAACTTCTCAATAACTCTCATTCCTTTTTCCGAGCTGATAAACCTTTAGTAGGTTTACTATAGAACTGGCTGCCAGCGCAGTCTTTAGAGTGAGATCTGGGATTCAAATTGATCTGGGTGAGAGACTGGTCTCTTGGGACTAGGTGTAACTTGAATATTTTGTGGTTTTTGGCATAAGTGACCATTTATCTCAGAGTCCAGTTGCCTCGGTGGCTAGACTGTCAGACGGATTTGGGAGTTTAACCCTCTTTTGAAAATCCCAGCCTTTGTTAACTGTAAATTAGGTAGGAACGTAACATTAAGGTGAAAATGCCTTTGCACCCAGGAATGTCACAGTTAATGTTTTCCGGTCTAATAGTGTGCTCTGACACCACGAGCCTGTAACTCTGTGAATACAAATATTGTCACCTGCAAAGCCTAGGCACAAACGTGAAGCACAGGCCTGCTCTACACTAGAAAGTCAGGTCGACACAGCTATGTCTTTCTGGGCTGTGACAAATCCATGCCCCTGACCAACGTAGTTCAGCCAAGCAAACCCTCGGTGCTGGCAGCACTAAATGGATGGTGGAATTCTTCTCTCAGCCCAGCTACTGCCTCTTCAGGAGGTGTGTTCACTGCAACAACAGGAGAACCCTTCCCCCCATTGCTGTAATGAGCGTCTACACTGACGTGCAACAGCAGGGCAGCTGCACCTGTGCTGCTGCAACGTTTCAGGTGTAGACAAGCCCTGAGTTTTGGCTGAACATTTGGCCTTTGTCATCTTTTCTGCTAACCTATTCTCAGTGCTCATCGATGTTAAACGAGACCTCATTTGGATTCCTGTTCCCCTTATCTCAGTCCCTGAAGTATCACTAAATTTAACAGTAAATAAATATCTGCCCTGTAGCCTCAGTGCCATGAGACCTTGATAAATCTCAGCAGCCAAGCACTGCTGGACTGGGTCAGTGAATCATAGAATATTAGGGTTGGAAGAGACCTCAGGAGGTCATCTAGTCCAACCCCCTGCTCAAAGCAGGACCAACACCAACTAAATCATCCTAGCCAGGGCTTTGTCAAGCCAGGCCTTAAAAACCTCTAAGGATGGAGATTCCACCACCTCCCTAGGTAACCTATTCCAGTGCTTCACCACCCTCCTAGTGAAACAGTGTTTCCTAATATACAACCTAGACCTCCCCCACTGCAACTTGAGACCATTGCTCCTTGTTGTGTTATCTCCCACCACTGAGAACAGCCTAGCTCCATCCTCTTTGGAACCCTCCTTCAGGTAATTAAAGGCTGCTATCAAATCCCCCCTCACTTTTCTCTTCTGCAGACTAAATAACCCCAGTTCCCTCAGCCTCTCCTCATAAGTCATGTGCCCCAGCCCCCTAATCATTTTCGTTGCCCTCTGCTGGACTCTCTCCAATTTGTCCACATCCCTTCTGTAGTGGGGGAACCAAAACTGGACACAGTACTCCAGGTATGGCCTCACCAGTGCCGAATAGAGGGGAATAATCACTTCCCTCGATCTGATGGCAATGCTCCTACTAATACAGCCCAATATGCCTTTGGCCTTCTTGGCAACAAGGGCACACTGCTGACTTGTATCCAGCTTCTTGTCCACTGTAATCCCCAGTCCTTTTCTGCAGAACCACTGCTTAGCCAGTCGGTCCCCAGCCTGTAGTGGTGCATGGGATTCTTTCTTCCTAAGTGCAGGATCTGCACTTGTCCTTCTTGAACCTCATCAGATTTCTTTTGGCCCAATCCTCCAATTTGTCTAGGTCACTCTGGACCCTATCCCTACCCTCCAGTGTATCTTCCTTTCCCCCCAGCTTAGTGTCATCTGGGAACTTTGCTAAAGTCAAGGTATATCACATCCACCGCTTTCCCCATAACCACAGAGCCAGTTATCTCATCATCGAAGGCAATCAGGTTGGTCAGGCATGACTTGCCCTTGGTGAATCCGTGTTGACTTTTCCTGATCACCTTCCTCTCCTCCAAGTGCTTCAAAATGGATTCCTTGAGGACCTGCTCCATGATTTTGTATCAGAGACCTCCATGAAATGGGAATCTCTGCAGCAGACTGCACTGTGAGTCCCAAACTGTAGGCCCTATTTAATTAATCTCCAGGGAAACTTGCTTCCCAAGCTTTGCTTTTATCTCTCCTCCTCCTCCCACCTTCCCTGCACTCTTATACATTCATTGGTTTAGAACCATTTTCCTGTTGTCAATTCAAAATTTAACTAAACTCCCAAGAAAATGTATATGTACAATATCTTGTTGCAAGATTTTAATTGCAACAAAATTTGAGTGAGGAAAGTCCAAGTAACAACCCCCTAGGGTCCTTATTTCTGTGTGGGGAGCCTGGGCACCAGGACGGGGTTCTTTATTATGTGATTATGAAACAATGGGCAACACCAGAGCCTATTCAGCAAATACCAGAATGCAGCAATCTGAGATTCTCAGATGAATAGTGCCGTAAACATGCAAAGTGTTGTTGTTATTTGATTACACTAATGGCTAACTATTAATTTAATTAACAAAAACAAAAAATTTCCTTAGTGACCATTAAGGTGGTACCAAGGCACAACCCACCCACCACAACCCGAACAGCCTAGAAATCAGAAGTGAAGGAAAAAACATTCCTTCATTCCTAGCAGCCTTCACATCCTTGACATGGCTGTCAATAATACACTCCGACTCCAGCACTCCATAAGGCTGCCACTTCCACCTCCCACTGAGATCAAACAGCTTTTTTAAACGATGTTTTTTCATTGTGTGAATTAAATCAACTAGTATTTTTAAAAAAGAAATTCTGTTATATGCAACTGTAAACTTCTTGCAGCAGGAGCAGAAAGGTTTGAACCCAGACCCTATAGAGCTTCAGCGCTAACTTCTACTACTTGAGCTATGGCTAGCTTCCTACTAAGCTAGTTACCAGAGACAGGCCTGACACACACTTTCCCTTGAGTTACACAGCTATTCACTAGACTGCAGTAGAAAACTGGAGTTCAGGAATGCTGGAGTCTGTTTCTGGATCTGGGAGGGCACTGTGGTGAGCTGGTCATCAACAAAATAACCAAACCACATACGTAGGGACAGATCTTCTGCAAAGCAGAAGGAATCAAACCATTGTTTTGCTCACAGCTCCAAGCCCCTTTCAGCCAGCACTCAGCCCAGAACTCTCTTGCTATGCTTTTCTCAGGCCCACACTCCCAGTGCTTGTTATGCTCCTTCCCTGTGTCCGCCTCTGTGCTGTGTACTTGCTGCTTCTCTCTCACACACACCCCTCTACCAAAATAATACCCAGCCAAACCCCTCCACCCACATCTGCGTGACACAGGCCTTTGTTTTGGGTAGTAGCATGTGCCTATATTTGGGGTGGAGGCTGTTAGTTTCTTCAGCTCTCTGGTTCCACAAAAGAGCTTAATGGCTTCTTACCCCTGTCTTAAATGAAGGGCAGTGGTTATGGCCAACTAGGGAGGCTGCTCATCCGGTATTAAACCGACTGGTCCTCCGTTTGAGACCTTTGTTCCCTGTCCTGCACTGGGACACAACCAGATGTGGTTTTGTCTGGTATTAGATGGGGCATGCTGCTCTGCCACTTCTGGCTTTCAAAAATGGCACCTCCCACCCTGGTGCAGCATGACCTCACACACACAGTGTGTACAAGGTCACACTGGTGGGGGCAGGGTGGTGCAAGTTTAAAGATAGCGGCCCACCATTCAGCTTGACCTCACATGCACCACCTCACCAGCGGGATCAGGATCACACCAATGGGGGCGGCGTCACACCATTCGCAGAAGTACCGGAATGTCTGGTATTCCGGGAACATGTGAGTGCCAATCTTATGTCCAACCCATAACAATAGGGCTGGGTTTGGTTGTGGTATTTTTTTTTAACCATTTTTACTACATTTCTTAAAAATAAAGGTTTAACAGTGCTGTCACAATAAAACTCTGCCACAACTTTAAACATGCTGCCACTCCACCAAAATATGACACTCAGGCCTGATCCTTCACTCCTTACTCAGGTAGAGATTTCATTTAAGCCAGTGGGAGTTTGTCCTGACTCCTGCCTGCATCCTGACGGGGCCCTTGGCGCTGCTGTTAGATTAGTGTAGTCTTCTGGATGTAATGCAAGAAAGAAACCAAGGTAAGAGTGTAAGAGAGGGTGTCTTGTGTTACCCAAAGAAAAGCTATAAACAGGGGATCAGTAATAATCGCACAATACTATATACTCCCCACTAACATCTGTAATGTCTTGTCAGACCCCAGTGCAGTGTGGATGGGCACTGACCTGCTATGAAAACTGTTGATATTTTCTCTTGGTTGACGAGCGGGTTCCTGACAGAACAGGACAAATTCCGGTTGGAATCTTCTGTTATAACAATAGAAATCTGAGTTTGAAATAGGCCATTGGTCTCCTTGGATATTTTTTCAGAGGCAGGTGATAGCAGCTTCCCATGGTGATCTTTCCACTGAACCTCAGGTTCTGGGTGCCACCCAGCCGATTGACACACAACCAGGATTCCTCCGTCCTGGTGACCATCAACAGAGATGTGGGGGTCCGAGCCCATAGCTAGAGGAGAATGGAATGAACCTGTGTTAATTCTACACTTTCAGCAAAGCAGACAGGAGCATACCCTTCACGAGAAGTAGCAAATTAACTCTTTTCTCTGTCCCCAGCACCCACCGTCAGAGTGAGCTATGTGGAAAACTCACTGCAGGTGTGTGTCACTGAGTGCTGGGGGACCTGTTCCCTTCACTATGGCCTGCAATACTTTACTCAGCTAGATATCAGAATCTCACTAGTGCACACACCCTCGAAAGCTGAACACTTAGCTTAGTGTGGATAGTGCATGTTAGAGGACAGGGCCTGGCCCGAAGCCCACTGAAGTCACTGGAAAAGGCCCTTGGTGATCTATGGTCTGACGCACCTAGCAGAGCAGTAACTAGGCATTTTAATGCCCAGGGTGAGCAAGCATATTTGAGCTCCCTACCATTTTTTTCATCTTTTTTTTCTGCACCGCAGAAACATGTATGGGGGGCACATGAGGTCACGTGCCCCCAGATTTTTTAGTTGCATCTCCCCCAACCCAGACAAGATGGGTAGCCTGCCGACAAAGTCCCTCCTGAACCCAAGCTGTGTGGGACTGGCCCAACTGAGCCCTGCCACGCACCTCTGTTTCCACCCCATTTTTCCAACCCCACAGCTTTGCTCCCTGGGCGACTGCCCCACTTTTTCTGCCCTGCTTATGGTCCTGGCACCTGGACTTCTAAAATTGCATATTCAATCCCATCACACTGGACTCAGCCCTTCACTAGAAGATAGATTAAGTTCTGGCCAGGTTACTTTGTTGGTATCTCAGGAATGAAATAGTCAACAATGATGACATTTTAAATGTCATCATTATGTTTCAGAGTCAATACCCTAATGAGATGAATGGGACATTCACATCTTTTCACCCATTATTTCAGGATGTTGCTGGATTCAGGAAGACAAAAGTGCTTCAGCTACACTTGTTTCATGTTTGAAAAGTTTCAAAACCACAAAAGTTTGCCATATAATTATGTGGAAATTCCACAGAGTTGAAACTATTCTAACTGTCTTTGATTATTGTTTCAACCAATTTACTCAGTTCTGAAGTAAATCCAAGGGTCACCTCTAGCACCATATTTACTGATAGTTAAAACCCTGGCTGCCTTCCATTCCTCCAGTCGAGCAGTGATTTTAACATTTGCATGATTTTGTTTGCAGCTCAGCCACTGCACTCTTAAATTCATATAACTGTTCTGAAGGAACTCTTGGTGACGCCTTGCTATTTAATTCATTAGTTTGTTCCAGCTTTTCCTCTTTTGATACATCACTCTCTGACAATGCCTCATCTTTATTAGCTGAGATGAGCAGATATCTCCTCTGTGCTGATGACTAGTGCAAAGAAAACATTTAGCTTCTCTGTAACGTCCTTATCCTCTTTTGATTGCTCCCTTTCTTCTGTATTGGTACACCTTACCCACCAACTCTCTGGCAGACTACCAACCCCTGATAAACACTGAAACAATTTCTTGATATTTGTTTTTGGCTTTGGCTTTTTATTCTTCCTCTCCTAATTTATATCTTATGCCTTACATTGCAGTTTCCTTCTATTGGTTTCATCTGGACTAGGTTTCTTCTTTTATGGAGAAATTAATATTATAGAGACTAAGACTGAGAGTAAATTCATTCTGACTATTTTCATATATTTCTTCAGGTGACAGGTCACTTTATTGCTTTATCTAAAAATGATTATTTCACAATTCAATTTGTCATTTATATTGAGCTTCGAGTTATCTGTAGATAAAGATACTGAGATACTCTGACAGCATCCTGAGATACTATGACAATGTTCTTCCTGAACTTAGTTCCTGAACAGAGCTGTGCAGGAAGCAGTTTTCCTGCCCTGTGAAAACTTTCAAGATATATACAAAAAATTTCTCCTAGAAAACTGAGACAAAAGATCAAAGTCTCCAAAAACTTTCATGAATCAAAAATCCCCAAAGCATTTTGAGTCAAGTTAGTTGAAACATTTCATTTCAATTTTGACAACTTTTACTTATTTACTACAATTAGCTTACATTTTAAAACAAACAGTTGATTTTAACTGGAAAATGGATTTTCTCATGTTATAAATATCAAAACAAAAACGTTTTGACAATTTTGAAACTTTTTTTCAAAATTTTTGAGTAAAAAACTCAGTTGAAACCAACCCTTTCCCATGGAAAGTTTCAGTTTCAATAAATCAGCAATTTTTGATGAAAGAAAAGCTTGGTCAAAAAATTCCCAACTGGCTCTATTCCAGAGGGGTATGGGACTATGAAAATAACAAGGCAATTCCAAAAGAAATCGATCCAATTGTATGATGAAAAAAATCAGTTAATAGACACAGATCCAGAGAGGCACTGAGTAACTGCAGTTTCAGTGGGAGTCATCAGTGATCAGCCCTTCTCGAGGTTTGGCCCATAATATGTGAGGGAAAGAAAAAAAAACCTGCTGGAAAGGTTTCAGATGAAGTGTTCTATGTTTAAATAAGCAAATGACAGACACCTGATATAAGCAGAACCCAAGGGAAGAGAGTGAGGGGGTGTCACAGCTTTGTCAAGCACCCCCTCTTGGCCACTCACCAGACTGCTGTGAGGGGATCCAACCATTGAATCACGTGTGTTTTAAACCTCTAGAGTCTGAGCAGAGTCCAGGCACAGACAAGGCCTGAGGTCTCTCAGACCACTCTGGGGGTGCAGATCCTCCATCTTACAGCCCCTCAAGCAGTGAGACCTCACGGTCCAACTGCCCAGTCCCTGCTGGGACCAGTGCTGTTCCCATAGGCAGCCCCACAGCTTAAATACACCCTTGTTGTCCCAGAACTCCAGCTGTGTGGGCATTCTGGGTCCACATATTATGTGGTAGGGTAACGCACAGAGACTTTGCACAGGATTCTAACACCATTGCTCTTTTCTTGAAAACACGGATCTATAGAAAAATAATAGACCTACGTGCATTTCCCTCTCACAATTTCCTTACCACTCCAGAGCATTCTCTGGGCTGGGTCAGATTTTGCTGCAGCAGATGGCTTGTCTTCTCAGCCAGGGAACCTCCCTCTCTCAGACAGTCTTCTCTGGTCTTGGCTGGTCTGCGTTCTTCCTCTCTCTTTCCCAAAGTTTCTTGTTCCTGTCCTACTGATTGTCTCTAGTTTCTATGTCCCATCACTAACACCTGGTTCCTTTGTTCTGTTTCTCGTAATTTTCAACTCACCAAACTCCAGTCCCCCTACAGACCAGCAGAAGGAAGTGGCTTCTTCCCAGTTCCAGCTAACATCCTTAGCATACTTATTGACAGGTCAGAGTTAAAAAGTAGTTAAAGCTAACTACTCCTCGTTGTAAATAGTCTGGTGTATGTGCTACGACTTGGTCAGTAATGGTGGATACACGTAGACATAGAGACATTCTATGATACAGCAATTTTCATAAAAACAACTTCACAATATCAAACAGAATTCATAAACTATACAGACAGAGTCCTCAAATTATCACAGTGGGTTTGTTTATTGTCAGAGAAATATTTGAACTCTATACTATGTTTAAAATAAAATTTAGAAACTGCCCCAAGTACAGAGCACATAAGCAAAATTCTTCCATTTTTCCTCAGGGATTGACCCTGCTGTGCAATAATTGGAAGCTAAAAGAGAATTCTGGATATTCATGTGTGAATGAGAGCGATCAAGGGGTAAATCACAATGAGCAATTACTCCATTTATTATACTGCTGGCAAATCAAAACAATAAAACACTATAACTGACCTGATACCATCAGTTCCAATATGGCTTCTTCATAAAATATACTGTATTGAAAAAAGCATGTATACTGCCCATGATCAGAGAGCTGGACCTGGTATATTCTCAGGGAAACACTCCCATTAGTGATGCCATCTTTCAGCAGCTCTGTCCTCCCGTGATATTCCAGCATCTGCTCTTCATACTTATCCTGTCCCTCCTGATACAGGTGGACAACTGAATGATATTGGAACCGGAACCATCGCACCTCCATGTTCTCAGCGCTCATCCTGGGGGAGAGGTGGCAGGGCAGGACGGCCTCCCCACCTACGGAGGTGGTGATTGGATGGTCAGGTCCAGTCACTGTAAACTGTGCTGTGAAATGTACCAGTGGAAAAAAGTGATTAAGTCCGAGAGAAACTGAATGGACATTAATTTAGGTGCAACAGTGTGGCAGGGCACAAAAGTGGGCAGGGTGCAAACAGAAAGAGTGTGGATACAATGCAGCACTGGTGTTTACACTAGAACAGCCCTCCTGTTCAATGAGCAATGGTTCAATTCTCTAACACAGGCAGAGGGTAGAGATTAGTACCCACAAAGGAGAAGAGGCAGTGCCTGAGGCAAAATGGACTGAGGAAATGCCAGTTTATCATCATTACTAAAGCATTTTAGTCACAATTTGTATGTTATTGTATCGTAAAATGTTTCACTGTAATAAGTGCAACCTTCGAGTCAGTTACCAATGTGATTGCACCATAGAATGCCAGAAAAAGATGATGAAGTGAGCTCTAGCTCACGAAAGCTTATGCTCAAATAAATTGGTTAGTCTCTAAGGTGCCACAAGTACTCCTTTTCTTTTTGAGAAAAAGATAGAAACAGTATAGATTAATTACAGACAGCAACTATGTTAAGGTGGCCAAGTCAAGCACTCCAAGACTAGGAAATGCCAGAATTAAGGTTTTCCATGAAACCTTAATTGTGCCCCCTTGTGTGTGTTCATTATGCTACAGTCTTTAATTACTTGAAAACATGGTATTTTTTCCATGGGATCCCTGACTCATTCAGTGCACAGGATAGATCAATGCTCAGTGAATTAGCAGCTATTCAGTGCTTCTTTTTATCCTAATCATTCAGAGAGGCTCCAGGCCACATTTACTGCCACACTCCAAATCCTGCACTAGATATAGAATTATATTATCTACTCAAGGGCTTTTCTGTGGTGCTCATTCCTATCTGAGTGTGTCAACTAAAACTAATTATTTTAATTTCATAACATCCTTTTGAGGTAGGGAGGTTTTGTTATCTCCATTTTCCAGATGGGAAACTGAGGCACAGAGACATTAAGGCCAAAACTGTCCACTAACTTGAGACACCTAGGGCCTGATTTGCATTCTTATGGCATGTTACATGTCCACACCACACTCGCATGGAATTTGCTGGCAGTGGTGAGTGTTTTTCACTTTTGCAAATCAGGCCCCAAGTACTCCCAGAATATTCCTGTGCCAGGGGCTGAAGGGAGCGGTGCTGGGCTGTTAAACCAGCCATGTGTCCCTCAGGGAAACACCACCCCCAAGAGGAGGAAATTCTTAACTGGGAGGACCTGGCAGCTTTCTGAAGTCATGGCACTAGAATGCAGACAAAAATCTGGAACCAAGAGACCAGTTTGTGACTTGCATGATCTTCCAGGGTGAACAGGCATGGTAAATGACATGAGGCTATAATGTGAGAGAACTGGTACTTTTAGAAGGAGAAGATATATGAGCAGGCAGAAATCTCATGGATAAATAGGAATTCCCACCTGATGCCAAATTGTGAATGTGCAGAGCAATGAAGAAAACAACGTATCCAGGCAGCGAGGAGCTCACAGTGAAGCCATGAAAGAATGAGAAAATCGTCCTCTTCATTATAACTTGCTCTGAACAAGGGGAGAAACAAATGAAACCAAACCCATGTTAGCAAACTGCTGGGATTTCTCTACAAGTGCAGTGAATAAGCTGCAGGACACAGAGGGTGTTGCAGTACAAAGGGCAGAAGCTTACAAACATGCCATGCCATATGAAAACAAGACTAAGTGTAACATTAAACCTCTTACATTCCTGTATACATTGTTGCATGAAGCTGGTCAGATCTTTGATGTTACCCTGGTCCTTTTGTGCCACTCCAGCAGTGCAGAGGGGCCGGAAAGCCAGTGTAGGCATCCAGCTGGGAATTCTGTCAGTGTAGGGGAATCCTCAGATGGTGTAAACCCAGTGTAACCAGCTCTAGGTCACCCCCTTGCATCTCCTCCATCTCCCCAGGGTTGAAGGGTTGTTGGGAGTGTGGTGGGATGGAAAGGGTGTGGCTGGAGTGCTGCTGAACTCCACTGATCCCCAGCAGATGTGATGGCCCCCTTGTAGATCTTGCCTGCTGGGGCAAGATGGAGAAGCCCTGAGGCTGCTTTTCATAATGCCAGGATCTGAATTGGCTCCTGGCAGCCCCAGGTATTGGGGCAAGTGTAAAAATGTCAAAAAGCTACTTTTGTCCTTCCTTCCCCCACGTAGGTCCAGCACTAAGCAGCACTCAGAGCACAGTGCAGCTCTCAGACTGTCAGAATGAGTCACTAAATCCCTCACCTATGCCTGAGCCCAGTTCTGGAACTGTATCCCTGGGGCAGGTGGGCAGGACCCAGCGTCCCTTTGGGAGATGCCCTGACCGCCAGGCTACACAGTCATTCTCACATGCTCAGTCTCTCTGCCCAGTGACTGTTTAAGTTTTTATACACAGTGCAAGGGTCTCAGCAGGAGAGATTGAGGGATCCCCACATTGGAATGTCCCATGGCCCAGTGGTTACAGCAATCTTGTGAGAGGTGGGAGACCCTCTCCAAATCCTTTCTCCCCCCCCTCGCAGAGGGGAAAATTGCGTCTAGGTGTCCCACATCCCAGGGAAGTGCTCTAACCACTGGGATCAGTGTTGTAAGGGAGGAAGCAGCATCTCCTCCTCCTCCTCCTCCAGTGCTTCTAGCAAGAAATGCCTTAGGCCCCACACTCCAGGAGATGGGTTCCCAGCTGTGGGTCACTAGCACAGACAGGTGCCTCCCTGCAGCTCAGAGTTGGGTGACTAGCTCCCTGAGAAGGGCATGGCTTAGCTTCCCCCCCTCTCCTTGGCATCTCCCATTGGCTAACTAGTGTGTGGTTTGCGTGGATCCCATTTTTAGGTGCATCTCGCTCCCCGTTCATTGTGGAGGCAGCCTGGGCACCTAACCCAGGCTTTGTGGAGTCCAGCGATTTTCAGGGTGTCTAAAAGTTGGGCATTGCAACACTCAGCATTGCAACACCTAAACCCCTTTGTAGATCCAGGCAGAGCTGTCCCTTAGGTAGGGTGAATCAGGGTGACCACCAGAGGCCCAGCGCTTTGGGGAGCCCCGCGCTTCAATAAAATTGGGACGGTAACGATATTTAGCCCTTTGTCCCGCATCCTGACCGATGCACGATTGGGATGCCATTTGTCCCGATGCTCGGGTGAGGAGGTGGGCTGGGAGGTGAGGCAGGAAGTGGGCAGACAGGCGGGGTGAGGAGGTGAATGGGGAGTGGGCGGGAGGGGAGTGAGGAGGCAGGCAGATGGCGAGGAGGAGAGAGGCGGTCGGGCAGACGTGGGGGCTGGGGACGTCCAGGTGGATGGCGAGGAGAGTAGCGGGCAGCAGTACCGGATTTACCATGGCGCCCGACCCACGCGCCAAAGGGGCCCTGGCCCAGCCTGCTCTTCTCCGCCCCCCTCCCCTGCTCTCTCCTGTGGGGGCAGAAGCTTGGTGCTCCCGGCTGCAGCTCCGCCGCCACCCAAGCTCCTCCCCTGCCTCTTCCCACAGCCTGCTTCGTTCCGCCCCTCCCCCTCCCTGCTGCCGAACAGCTGATCGCCCGCGCCAGGCAGGGGGAGAAGCGGAACCGCAGCACGCTCGCCGCTAGGGGAGGAGGCGGAGAAGAGGCGGGAGCGGGGCGTTGGGGAAGGGGGTGGAATCAGGGCATACCCCCTCCAGCCCCCGGCATGAGCTGCTCAGGGCAGGGGGCTGGGAGCGCCCCCACAGCCCCAGCCCGCACCCCCAGCCCTGACTCCTGCACCCCCCCACACATACCCAGCCCCCCCCACGCCCCATGTCCTGACTCCTGCACACACCCCCCACATCCCTACCCCCACCCTGAGCACCAAACGGGAGCTCCTGCACCTCCCACATTCCCACCTGCAGCCCTCACACCAAATGGGAGCTGCCCCAGGTAAGCGCTCCACACCCCATCCTCCTGCCCCAACCTTGAGCACCCTCCCTCACCACCCTAGCTCCTGGCCAGACCCTGCACCCCAGCTCCCAGCCCACTCTTGCACCCTAGCTCCCTCCCAGACCCTGCACCCCCAGCCCTGTGCTCAGTGCACCCCACCCTCAGCTCAGTGCAGAGAGAGACAAAGAAAACGGGCTAGAACCAGGGAGAAGGTAGGTATCCGCTCTATGTGGGCAGGAGTGGAGGGGATCCTTTTTACCCCCTCCCCAGCCCTGCTGTGCTTGCAGTTTACCCCCGGCCCCTCCCTTGCTCCAGGGACCAACCCTAGCTCCTGCCCTGCTGTGCTTTTGCCCCCGGCCCCTGCCTTGCTCCAGTCAGCAGGGACTAATCCTCCCCCCATGCCCCACTGTGCTCATCCTGCCTCTGGCCCCTGCCTCGCTCCAGCTGGGGACCAATCCTTCCCCCCCACCATGCCCCGCTGTCAGGGTGGATAAAAATCAATGACTTTTTAAAAAAAATCAGATTTTTTTGTATTTAAATCAGATTTTTGAGGAAAAAACCTATCTAAAAATAGTTTTAATTAAGATACATTATATCTCATCATGGAATAGGGATTATAAATTCTAATTCTATAGTATGAGACAATATATTCATGTAATGTTTAAGAAAAGTTTTGTAAATGAGTTCTAATAGTTGATGGATTAGGGACCCAATTTTATGGGGTTCCACAGGCTTCTGTATAGATTATTTAGGTTAATCTTTCTCTCAGTCTAGAAGATACCGTCAGAGACGCTTAGTTTTGCAGTTCTCAAACTGGGGATGTGTCTCTCCAGAGGTAACATGCTTGTTAACAGCAAAAATGTTTTTAAATAAATAAATAATATATAGAGGTGAGAAATAACAGTTGTCCCTCTGCAAATTTGTGTACACAGAGTCAATCCCTTATCTCTCTTTAAAAGTGAAAAGTTTCGAAAAGTTCAATGAATAGAAGATTGTTGGGGGCGGAATAGATCTGGACAAGGAGAAGAAGTCTGGAGATAAAATGTGAGAAGCGAGAGACATATGCTTTTTTGTAAAAATATTATGTTTGCTGTTGAAGAAAAAAATCCATAATACTTAACGTTGTTGTTTAGTTAAATAAAACAATTTAAATGTCTGTCTGGTGATGTTCTCCTCCTAATACAGCCTGGCAAGAAAATCCTCCAAATATTAATGATTAACCTGTTGAATTGGAGATAGTTCACCTCCCAATGATATCTGCTTCAATTCTCTTTGGTAAATGAAATAACCAATCATTCATTTTCTGATATAGCTGTAAAACGCATCTGAAAAGTTTTCAAAATAAATCACTGTTTAAAAATGTATAGTGTGTACCTTCTAAAAATGAAACCTACATCTATCTCTGAGTTGTGAAGAATATATATTAAGGTTATAACAACCAACAAGAATGCACTTTTATGTGGAAAACCATGATTAAATCGAGTCTTCCTGACTACTGATTTAAATCATGATTTAAATCAAATCCACCCTGCCCGCTGTGCTCTTGCCCCTGGCCCCTTCATTCCCCAGGGGGGGCCCACAAATATGTTTGGTGCCGGACCCACGAAAAGTTAATCCGGCCCTGGCCAGGAGACGAGCAGTGGGCAGGTGGGTGAGGAGGTGAGCGGCGGACAGGCATGCCGATGGTGAGGACAGCAGCGGGTGGGCTGGAGGGGGTGAGGAAGTGAGCAGTGGGTGGGCGTGCCAGGCAGACAGTGAGGAGAGTAGAGTGGAGGCTGGTTTGTCCCAGGCCCTGCACCCCGCTAGGGAGGGCCCTGGATCCAGGCCATGGTCCCTTGCAATTTATCAAGGTTTCTAATGCATTAGGGAGGTCCATGTAGACCTGTCCTCACTCCGCCAGACTGATGAATGCACTGGAGTGCCTGATGTCTTTAAGGTACTGACCAAGGTACCATCAAACTGGTGTCTGTAGGAACACAGGACTTGCCAGACTGGATGCTTCAGAAGAAGGTACAAGAAACCTGCAGGAGGGAATTATGGGAAAGCCCATCCCCAATGGAAATTTCTTCCTAACCCCTTCCATTTATATCCCCTCTAAAGCACTAGGGTTTTTTTTTCTCCCCCCAACACTTCCCAAATCCTTACAAAGATAACTGTGGATAGTTTCCTTATCCATAGATATGTCTAATCCTTTTTTGAATTGTGCTAAACTCTTCACCTCAATGATATCTGTGGCAATGAGTTCCTCAGGTTAATTGTGTGTTTTGTGAAAATGTGTTGCCTCTTATCCATTTTAAATGTGCTGCCTTGAATGTCCCCTTGTTGTATTCAGAGCAATGAACAGAAATACCTGATCTGACGTGTCTATCCTATTCCTTATTTTATGTCCCTCTATTATGTTCCCTCTTAGTTGTCTCCTCTTTAAACTAAACAGTCCCAGTCTTTTCAATCTCACTGCATAGGGCAATTTTGCCAGGCCCCTAATCACTGCTTTTGTCCACCTTTGAACCTCTCTGTTTCTGCAACTTCCTTCTTGAGATGGACTGACCAGCACTGACCACAAAACCCTTGTGAAGGAATCCCTCTGATAAATATACTGGTGTTAGAATCTTTTCCTTATCACTCATTCCTTACACATCCTCACACTTGGTTTTCTTGACCAAACTGAGC